ACATAAATATGTATATAAATATTTAATAAAATTTAATGAAAAATAAAAATCATGATATTTAATAAAGTAATAAACTGATATGAAAATATATTCTTAAAACAAATAATTAAAAAATTCAATTATTCCCTTTGAGGATTGTGAAGAAATCAATGACATTTAATTGAGTTAGATGAACAATGTCATAATTATCTTTGTTATTCTTGAAAATAAAATTTATCTCCATTTTCTATCTTTTCATCATTTAATAATTGTTGATAATTGTCCATAAGATGCTTTGGCATACGACAAGTACGAACTAAATGATTTGTATGTCCATATTGATAACGGAAATGACCACAATTGTTGGAGTGGTCTTTATTTTCTATTATAAGATTTCATATTCATTTGCAAGACAAAGTTATTAGTGTAAGAAGTGGACTATATTTTTTTTTCTAACATATTATCATCTATGATATCTTGATCACATAATTTTAATTTACATACTTAAAAATAAACAAATAAAATAGATCAAATGATAAATATTATTATTGATATATATATATATATTATTTTTTAGATGTCACGTGTAATGTAAAAATAAAAAATAAAAACTAAAATAAGAATCTAAAAATAGATAAAAATTTGACTACACGTACAAAACATATAATTAGAATTATAAAAAAAAATTATCTAAAAATAAATTAATAAAGCTATAAATTTTATAAAATTTTGTTTCATTTGATCAAAGTTGTATTTTTCTGAAATATTAAAATAGTAACATAATGAACAGTAAAACGTTTTAACGACATGAACTTTTAGAAGCACAATAATATAATAATTCTAAGCAAATAAGAAACAAAGGGCAGCGAGAAATAGACGACTTACCTCAAATTAGATAGAGACGAAACTTGATTTTCTCTTTGAGTAAACTCGTGCCAATAACGATTTGGGAAATAAAGAAGGATAAACTACACGTTTGATATTTAAACTATCAATTTATTTTTTTGGTACTTAAATTTTCATTTTTTCCCAAAATATTCATAACATTTATTTTTTTTATTTCATTTTGGTACCTCATCGTTAAAAACTTAACGGTACTGTTGTATGTTGCACTATTTTATGGATAAATCACATTATTCATCACTGAACTATCTTTTCACTCTTATTTTGCTCACTAAAGTTTAATTTTTTTAATTTAATTACTTAGCTTTCAAATTACTTCTAATTCAATCACTCTTACTTCCAAACTTAATTTCTTTTATTTTACTTATATAATAGTAAAATAATAAATGTCATGTCACAAAAATTATTAATAAAATAAATTATAGTGATTAAAACATGATCAATTTGAAAGTTGAGTAGTTAAATTGAAAATTTTTAAACTTTAGTGACCAAAATAGGAGTGAGAAGATAATTGAGTGATGAATGATGTAATTTACTCATAACAAATATCACGTTATCAAAATAAAACATAAACTAGACGTTGGGCCCGATTTAAAAAAATAAAATTTAAATATCAAAATGAAACAAAAGTAATAGTTTAGATACTAAACGTACACTTTACCTAATAAAACAAGTAAACAAAGAACAAATACAAAATGTACGAGAAAAGAGAGAATTTTGTATTGCTTTCTCAATATGATATATATTGGGAGACTTTTCCAATTTCTACATTTATAGCAATAAGTAGTAGATGTAATATAAAACTCTAATAATAATGAATATTAAAGACCTAATAACAAATACATTAAAATCTTATCTTATACATAATTTTTTTGATGTAATCACCTATTTCTAATTTGTTAATTGATTAATTCAAATCGAATACTGTAGAGGCGAAGATAACCCTCTTAACCCAGTTTGTTTCATTCATAAATGTCAGAATTTAAACCCCTAAACTTTACTTAATAGATCTAGTGTCTCATCCCACTAGACCGTCAATTTATTAGTTATCTTGTGCATAAAATTGTACTCGTAAAATTATACTCATGAAAGACATTTTCCATATTTAATAAAAATCTAAATTAATTTTATTATATTAACAAAATATTATTTTTCAAATTTTTAATTCTATAAATACTTTTCATGAAAATAACTTTTTTATTTTTTGTTTAGTTTTAACATTTTTAGAAAATATACTTTTACTGATTTTGTTTCAAATGTGTTATAGGGAGTGCTTGATGACATTGATTATGACAATACTTTCGGAATACAATAATATAGTCGCTGCGAAAACCTGTTAAAGGTAATATATTAAAACATAAAATCTTTTAAAAATCATAGTTCGATAAAGTTTAGGGTACACTATGTATTTAGTCACTCAATTATTCTTACGATTTTATTTCAATTATCAAGTTATTATTATTTTTTTAAATCATGCATAACAATATGTTTTGGTTCCATTTTAATCACATGCGTTAGAAAATTAATGTTGATATTGAAGTGTTACTATAAGATAATGACATGGCATCAATGAAAAAATTGTCATGATAGCAGTTTTGTTTTATTTTTCAACGATTGTAATCAAAACATAACTAAAATATAATATTATATGTGATTTTAAAGAAAAATAGTTAAACAACCAAAATGAGACCACGAGAATAAGTAGGTAATTAAATATGTAGTTTACCATCGCACATTAATTGGGCCCGACCCTAATAGTAAAATAAATTTTGCAACAGAAATAGACTGAAGCAATGGGTGCGAAAAGGGGATCACCTTCACAATATAAATAGCAAGAAATAGATAGCAGAAAATACCTCACGAGTACATCACCTCGCTAAACTTTTCTGTTATTATTACAAGAAAACTCAATTCAGAGTTATTATTACAAAAATGGAGAACCAAGAACATGGTTCATCATCAGGCAAGTATAAGCCAATTTTAGCTGCAGTTTTGTTGCAAGTTGGGTATGCAGGGATGGACATCTTGTCTAAGACCGCATTAAACCAGGGTATGAGCAATTACGCACTCGTCGTTTACCGCCATGCCATTGCCACCATTGTCATGGCTCCTTTCGCTGCTTTTCTCGACAAGTATCGTTTCTTCTTTCGATCTATCTGCGATAAGAAAACTTTCATGCAAAGCATTTTTCTTTTAACTGATGGAAGTTGGAACCTTTTTGTTTGATAGGAAAGTGAGGCCTAAGATGACACTATCAATCTTCATCAAAATAATGCTGCTTGGCTTCCTGGAGTAATTTCGAAATTACTACAGTTTTCTGTCTTTTGCATCGTATGATATGTCTAATGTTGACATATGTACTTTGGCAGGCCGGTAATTGATCAAAACTTGTACTATCTTGGGATGAAATACACGACTGCAACCTTTGCAACTGCCATGTACAATATTCTTCCTGCCATTACTTTCGTTATGGCTTGGATTTTAAGGTACAACAAGAAGGAAAAAAATCTGTAAATCAATGGTTTCGTTCATACGAGATGTGTAAAAGTTTAATCATGTGGTTTTAGGCTTGAGAAGGTGAACTTCAGATCGATCCATAGCCATGGAAAGGTTATAGGGACGCTTGCAATGGTTGCAGGAGCGACGGTGATGACACTGATGAAAGGACGGTGCTTGAGTTGTTTTGGGTGAAAGGAACCATCAACTATGATGCAGCGGCAAAAAAACGGGACGGATCTCCACGATTCGATTAAAGGTGGTGTGATCACAATTGGCTGCTCAGCTATGCTTGTTTCGTCATTCTCCAAGTAAGTAACAAATATAGAAAATTCTGCAGTGTTATTTTTTTAATTATGAGATTACTAATGTGTGTTTTTTCACAGGCAATCACTCTGGAAACATATCCTGCAGACCTTTCTCTTACAGTTTGGATATGTCTAGCGGGCACCCTTGAAGGTACCATTGCAGCTTTGGTAATGGAAAAGGGAAATGCTGCCATTTGGGCTATTAAATGGGACACCAAGTTGCTCACTGCTGCATACAGTGTAAGACTAGTTTCCTATTGTTTACCGTGACCCGAACCAGTAACTTAGTCCAATAAGTTCTTGCGATTTCAAGCCGGAACAGCAACTGGATTATCGATATGTTTCAGAGTCCAATTAGTTCTTATTTCATTTTTTTGAATGGTTGCAGGGCATTGTATGTTCAGGACTTAGTTATTACATTCAAGGGATGATAATGAAACACAGAGGTCCAGTGTTTGTGACAGCTTTTAGTCCTCTATGCATGATTATTGTAGCCATCATGTCCTCTTTCATTCTGGCTGAACAAATGTTTATGGGAAGGTAATCTCTAATTTCATATCAACCTGTCACGACCCTAGGGAAGTACTCGGTCGGTCGGTTGGCGAGTCAGTCATGATACATACCGGAAAAAGCAAAAGAAAAGATGATAAAATGTTTTACAGGGTGATTGGAGCTATCATCATAATTGGGGGTCTATACCTGGTGCTGTGGGGTAAAAGCAAGGATTACAAGTCGCCACCATCGCCATTAATTGATGGGAAAATGATAGAAGCAGATAAAGGTAACAAGGACAAGGACAGTTTTGATCATGAGGCCATCACAGTTGATGAAAATTCACAAGAGAAATTTCATTCCATTATTGTATAAGATTTGTAAAGAATGGATATGATTTTCAATATTAGCATCATTTCCACTATCATGCAGAATTGAATATTACGAGTAAGATCATAATTCTGACTTTTAATAATTTTATCCCAAGCGGATACATATGATCGACCATCTGTAATCATTAAGCTTGAAGGAACACATTTTCATATATATTTTACCTCTAAAGGAAAGAACATGAAGACATATTCACTATATCGTGCTTGTTTGACATATTCACTATGATGGTTTTAGAAGTCGTATGTTTTGAAAACAAATGATGGAAAAAATGAATGTAAAATATTAAAAATATATATTACAGCTGTAACAAATGAAGAGGAAGCCAAAGAAACAAATCAAAGAATACAAATCAAAAGAATATAAATACATTCACATGTATCAGATGCAAAGATCAACCTTGGGAGCCTTGTTTCCAAACAGAACTTGCAATCATTCTCTCAACGGACTCAAATTCAAGTCCAAGCAAACAACCCTCTTACTACTATTCGATCTCTTCAACACCGGCACCATCGAAACAAGCGGAAACGGCGAGAAGCTTTCGTTAACGGAAACTCGATGCCTCCTCATATGGCCACCCAAAGCTTGTCCCCTGGAAAACTCTTGGCCGCAAATGGAGCACTCGTGAGTCTTGGGGTTGGTTGATGATAAACTAAGGATTTCATTGGGTTTGTCCCCCGCCAATTTGGGTCTCTTGTGGCTCGCTCGGTGACCTCCTAGTGCTTGGAACGATGGGAAGCAACGGTGACAGGTTTTGCACTCGAAGCCCTCGCTGACTTTAGGCCTGGTTTGTAGGCCTTGAGATAGCAGCATTAGACATTTTGCAATGTCGAAACCCTGAATTTCTACACTTTCTCTTTCTCTTTTCATTGCTTGGGTGATATGGAAACTCAGAAATCTGAATATAATTCTGGGAATTTTGTATTTTGGTAGTGTTTGATGTTTATGAGTGAAATAAAAGAATATAGAGAGAAGGGAAGGGTTGTTTGAAGTTTATATAAGGAAAGTGAGAAGTTCGACTGCTCTTTGACGTGTTGTATTTTTTACAATAAAATAAGAAGCCTGCTTTTGGTCAAACTTAAGGACATGTGGTAGAGACAAGGTCACGAGTGGCGAGCTATAATGGCTGCCGCTGAAGCTTCGGCTACTTTCTCAACTAATGTTGTATTGTGAACGGATAAACCCACTTTATGATTAAAATATTATTATTATTTTTTAAGGTTTTAAGTTCGAATATTTTACATGTTAAGTATGAGAATTTATTGTTAAAAGATTAAAAGTTTTTAAACAATTACTATTTTGTATTAACACTAGATTTATTAAAACAAAATGTTGTACTGCTATTATTATCTGGTAAATTATGAATTTCCCCACTCAACTTTGATTAAATTCATGTTTTGATCATTAAAGTTTTTAAAATTTTAATTTGATCACTCAATTTTAATGATTTTTTTGTCACTCCACTATTAAATCACAAACAATTTGATGACATGATGATAGAGTAATCAAAAGTTCAATCTTTAAAGTTGAGTGATCAAATTGAAAACTTTTAAGTTTAGTGACTAAACAAAATATAGTCAAATTTTAGTGATAATAATTGTAATTTTCCATTACCTTTTCTCATACGTATGAAATCATGTTCAGTTTGTGTATTTTTTTTTTATAAATATAAATGAATACACTGTAGTATTTGTTCAAAAACTTTCAATCTTTTGACAATAAATTCTCATACCCTTGCATTTGTGGTGCTCGAACTTAAAACTCAAAGAATAACAATAAATTCCTTAATCACTAAGGTCACATGATTCGTATATTTTTAATGTTTAATAATAGCGTATGTGATGATATTCATGACGTAACCTAGAAGGCTTAACCAGGAGGCAACGAATGTGAAGAAATTGAAATCTATAAGAAAAATTCAATGTTCAAACCCTTGCTCTTCGTTGATAAATCAGGTGCCTGTTGCTGACCAACTCAAATTGTCAACTTCTATTTTCAAGCGATACGGGCAGCAGACATTGATTTGTTGCTTACTGTGGGCTGTTTCTATCTTGCAAAACTTTCAAATATTTGCTCCTTCTATATTTTTCAACAGTGTATAGTGATTATAAATTTTCTATATATCTTCGTACAAACTGTTAAAACTCATGATTTTTAAAGTAAATAATAGGATAAAGTACACAAATAGTCCCCTAACTATAAAATATTAATTTGTTGAGTCCTCGACTATTAAAATTTATAGAATGATACTCTAGCTATAGGGAGTTGCTTTGTTGAGTCCCTAAACTATTAAAAGTTACAAAATGGTCACTCGACTATTCATTATGTTTCAAACTCATCATTTATCGTTAAAAAATTAACGGCAGTCTGAGCTAGAATTAACCTACTGACTGAGATATGATAAAATATGATCTCATAATCACAAACAACTATTATATCTCAGTCAACATATTAACGTCCAACTTAGACGACCGTTAAATTTTTAACGAAAAATACGAGTTTAGAATATAATAAATAGTCGGTGATCATTTTGTAACTTTTAATAGTTGAGGGATTCAACAAAAAACCTTCCTATAATCGGGAAACCATTTGTGTACTTTATTGAAATAATGTTATTTTTTATCATGAAATCACCTGATGGGTTCAGTTATTTTTTTGAATTAAGCTTAATTGACCAAAATTTATTATTATTATTATTATAATTATTACATGCTTCATTTAGTGCACTCTAGAATGTAGAAAAAACAACTTTCTCTTACACGGTGTTTAAGTCAAATTTTGTAGTTCTATTAATTGGGGCAGGTAAGGCACTGCCTCCTTAATATATATATTTACTTAAAGTTAATCTGCATTTATTTATGGTCTAAAATTTGAAAAGGGATGCACATATTTTTTTTATTAAAAAATAATTAATATAATAAGTTTAATTGGTTTAAAATTAAATTATTGAACTTATATAAATTTATGATTTATCCAAAGTAATTCAAAAACCACCATTACTCATCATCGTCGGTGGCTACCTTATCTCGTCGAAAAATTGTTTTATACAATATTTACTGCTGCAATATGCATTTAAATAAGAATTTTGATTATTCTAATGTAAATATCGATCGGTATATATATGCATGCATGTGATAAAGGGTATCTATTTTTATTTTCTTAGCACTTATTCTTCCTGATCTCATGCTTTTTCTCCTTTGATTAGTAAAAGATGAATGGAGGAAGAAGAAGCTGCGTTCTTCTTTTTATTGTTGGCAAAAAAAACTAGTTTGGGTATTTGCCGCATTCTTTTATTGTTACTTTCATCATGAATTCTACAGGCATTTAGTATATGAATTTGTGTATTTTCTATTTTGGATTTGAGACTTATTTTCCGGTACTAGGGTTCATCCTATAGTTTATTTGTTGTATTGTTTTTGGTATTAGTTGTTCTTATTCCAGCTCAAACAAATGTTAAGAATGCAACAGTGAATATTGCATAAAACAATTTTCCGATAAGATAAGGTGGCCTCCAAGGGTGAGTGATAATGATTTCTGGATTAGTTAGGATGAACCCTAAATCTATGTAAATTATACTTTAAGTCTAAATCAACTAAATTTATTTATTATTTTTAATAAAAAAATATATTTTCATTATAATTATATTGAATTTAAATTTTAATAAATAAATAATTTTAAATAAATTATTATACTCCTTAATATTTACATAATAAACACGATTTTATCAGTGGTATATTTCGATGTTTCATTTTAATGGTGTGTTGCAGTCTATACTCATCCATAATTTTATTATATTTTTACTTGATCAATAAATTAAGCTGCTGATATTAATTTAAAGGGTAAATTATAAGTTTCATCATTGAACTTTACTCTCTTTCTTATTTTGCTCAGTAAACTTAAAAAAATTGAATTTTCTCACTAAACTTAATACATTGAGGTTTTTTTATCACTCGACTGTTAAATAGTTATGGTATTAAAACGATATTAAAAAAATAAAATTTTCACCAAAATGAAGATATTTTTCATCTATATAACAGGACATTTATTATACTGTTAGTGAGAAAATGATTGAGTGATGAAAAAAATCTAATATATTAAGTTTAGTGAAAAAATTGAAAAGATTTAAAGTACAATGAGTGAAATAGGAGATATAATAAAGTTTAATTACTAAATTTGTAATTTAACCTAATTTAGAAAAGGGTTGGGTCTTTGTTTAACCGAATAAATTGTTATCCCAAACCCAAGACCCTTCCTAAAATCCTTTTCTCTTCTCCCTCTCTCTTCCCTCCTCTTCTTCCTCCTCCACCTCACCTTTCATTCTCTCGATTCCTCTCTACATCGTCCGTCCCTTACTCCACTTCTTTTTCTATTGCTTCCCGCTTCGCTTCCACTTCCTCCCACAACCACGATGTTTCTTCCCTTCTATCACGCAATCGCCTCCACCTTCTCCACTGCCCTCACCAAAACATCACTCTTGTCTTCTTCACCACTGGCTCGAACCATGACCGGATTGGCTTCTTCTCTGTTCACGTCCAAGACAGCAATTTTAAGTTTCTGGGTGATCGGAATGGCCACGTCTTTATTTCTAACAACCACTTCAATCACAAAATTTTGAGTATTCTGGTGAACCCAGTTGATGATTTCGCCGAGATTTCAGGTGATTCTGTTGTTGGGTATATAACGGCTTCTACTTTATATTCCGTTCATTGGTATTCTGTTAGATTTGTTAACTCTAGCCAAAACCCCGCTTTGGGTTACATAGGCTGTAAGTTATTCAAGAGTTCCTCGATTGTTTCTGCTTGTTTCAGTCCACATATACCTGAAGAAAGTATGGTTTTGTTAGAGAATGGTTCACTGTTCTTGTTTGATTTAGCTTCCCATGTTAATTCTCAGAAACCCAATGAGTATCTTAAAGGGAGTAAATTTAGAGTTTTTTGGGATGACTCCAGTGGTTCAGGGAATTATAAATGGTTGGGCATTGAGTTTAGTTGGCATCCTAGGATTTTGGTTGTTGCCCGATCAGATGCTATCTTTTTACTTGATTTTAGGCGCACTGAGTGTAGTGTAGTTTGTTTAGCCAAGATTGGCATGTTGAGCCCTTATGATGTGGTTGATGAAGATCAGTTCCTAGCATTTTCTAGAGCAGGAGCTGACGGGTTTCAGTTTGCTTTGGCTTGCCGAAGCTTGTTACTTCTTTGTGATGTGCGTAAACCAATGATGCCATTGTTGCGTTGGGCTCATGATCTTGATAATCCAAGCTTTATTGATGTGATAAGGTTATCGGAATTAAGATCACAGTCGAGGGATGATAGATATCAGTTGGCAACTGAATCAGGTTTTTGTGTAATATTGGGATCATTTTGGAATTGTGAGTTCCGGCTGTTCTGCTATGGCCCTTCTTTAACGCGTTGGGCTCATGATCTTGATATCCAAGCTTTATTGATGTGATAAGGTTCGGAATTAAGATCACAGTCGAGGGATGATAGATATCAGTTGGCAACTGAATCAGGTTTTTGTGTAATATTGGGATCATTTTGGAATTGTGAGTTCCGGCTGTTCTGCTATGGCCCTTCTTTAACCAATGAAGGATCTATTGCTATGGGAATTTCAAAGTTTTGCAAACCCTTTCTGGCGTGGGATCTTCCTTCAGAGTTCTTTTTGTCAAACCAAGAGTGTCGTTGCGGAAGTTGTCTTATTAGAGAAGAATTTTCAAAAGGTGCACTTCCTGAATGGATTGATTGGCAACAGAAGAAAGATATTGTCCTTGGTTTCGGGATTTTGAGCAGGGATCTCTCGGGGCTGGTGCATGAGTCAGATGAATTTGGTGGGTTCACTTTGATTAGGTTAATGTCTTCAGGAAAGATTGAAGCTCAACGATATTGTGCCTCATGGGATTTGGTGCATAATTTTGATGCAGCTCACAGAGAACCATTGTTCAATTTTGAGGATAGCTTACTATACTCATTGGGTAATGATGAATATGAATTTCCTAAAAGATTCAAGTATTTGAACCTTGAGTATCTTCGTGGGTATTTGTATGACAATCTTGCTAAAGTCCTAGACTACAAGATGAAGAAGTCTCACAAGGGTCCTCTGCAGGAGTCTTATAGCCTAGACTTTCATGAAATTTTGTGTGAGAAGTTGAAGATCTGTGGGTTTGGTCGATTCAGGTATTCTCCTGCACTTTCCATTGTCTTCAATGACATTAGCTTTCCAACAAGTATATGTGAGGTTGCTTCAAGGCAAATGTGGGCAACCTTACCTTTGGAACTTTTACTACTAGCTTTCTCTAGCTATCCCGAGCTACTTGATGTACCCTTTGATGATAAGACAGTGTCTTTGGAATTTTCAGTTGTTCCAGACATACCTCAGTTGCCTCCATTCCTACTAAGGAAGCCTTCATGTCGCAGCACTAAGTGGTCACGCAAACTGCAGCCTGATGATTCACTTGTGGGTCCTGTTCTTCCTCTCCCAATTCTACTTACGCTGCACGAGTTTCATAATGGCTGTCCTGATTCAGAGAAAATGTGTGAATTTTCATCAGACATGGAGCTTGGCCTTAGGTGCACTGAAGTCATGCAGGTGGCTACAGAAATGGCTGTATCAGATTCTAGCATGCTTAACAATGATCAAACTGTCTCTCTTGGTGATGACAGAGATGAGATGTGGGTTGACACTCAAAGGCCAAAACCATTCCTTTTATACCATCCAGTTGGAGGTGAGTCTTCTAGCATTGATCAACTTCAGGGAAACCGTATTTATAAAGATGAGAAATTTACTACCATGATTACCAAAGTGCATAAGAAGGAGACCGATCCTAACAATACAATGGATACTGTTGGGCTAGAACTATTCGATGATCTGTGTCCCATTGAGTTGAAGTTTGATGTTCCTGTCATGAACTTTAGTCCACAGGAATTAGAGGGATTAAAGATTTTGAAAAGGCAGTTCACCAAGTGGCAAGAACGTTTTAAACCATATCAGGAACTTTGCAAGCAGAATAATATAGATTTTCAAAAGAGGGCATGATATGCTGTGTTGGTGGACTGCTTTCCTCTAACTGAATCTTAGAATCCAACCTTTGTTTGATTTCCTCCCGATTTAGCTTGGAGATGTTGTAACTTGTAAGATGAGATAGCAGCTCCTGTAGCAGTAATTATAACATAGAGAAGAGTCCTTGGCACAAACCAGGGTTTCTTTTTCCTGCTCTGGATGTTTGAAGGCAGAGCCTATCCGAAGATGCTGTAAAGGATGGTCATTTTTTGTTTGTATATATTATCATATCAATGATCAAAGTATTTTTGTTACCTGATGCACCGATTGAAGTGTCAGAAAATCTAGCATCTCCTTCGTTTAACGTGGTTTCTGGCGCTGTTGAACTTTTTAAAGTCTAAGCTGAGATATTTTGATGCAAAATATGAATCCAAGCAGATAGTCATTATTATTAGCTAAGCGGTAACTTCAACTGAATTCACCAAAAAAAAAAAGCAATTGATTTTTAGTAGAATTTTGCAAGAATATTACACTAGTGAACTACGAGAATCGGACAAAATACAATACACACGAAGAAAATCAAGGAAGGAATGTTTGTAGGTACATGCTAGTGTCACGAGTATGACCGAGAAACTGAGATTGATGCACACCTGAGCAATCACGAGGTTACTTACGTGGCAATACCAAGAGAGTTTGTTCACGAATTCAATCTCTAAGGTAGCCCACGTTCAAGAGTTCCCATTCATAAAGTAAATAGAGTTCTAGTTAAATTAGATGATGCAACCCACCAAGTGTAGACCTTATCGTAGTAGGATTCGATAATAAAAGTTAAAATTTGAGTTGTGCTTTAGTAGTTCATAGTTACAAGGGGACTTAAAAATAGAGACAGTTCTCTCGTCTTTAGGCATCAATTGTTATTTTCTTTCTTTAAATAATAAAATCACAGCTCTCATTTATCCCCAATATGTTTTCGTTATCTTTCTCACCATCTCTTTTAATAAGAATTTTTGATCCGTTTGAAGGCTGACTTAAGAGCATGAATCAAACTTCAAGTGTCTAAGGTCGCACAGGTTGTTTAGGTTTGAGATTAGTCCCGTGACGGTATTAAAGCGAGATTTTATGAGCAAGACTAATCGAGATGACTCAAGGAAATGATGTTGTCGTACAAGATGGGATCGAGACCCGTGCTGGAAAGCAGAAGAGAGAAAGCTCAAGGGATCTTTTGTCATCCATTGACAAAAAGACCAATTTGACTAAAAAAACTCATGAAAGATACGAGGGAGACTTTTGACGAGTATGACCAACGCCTTGAAGAGCTAAACTCTAAGGGAGATGAGCTCCAGCAAGAGATGCAAAACATAATCAAACAATCGGTCAGATGGACTATAGAAACGTTGCTCTTGAAGCCAAAGTAATATCTCTTAGGAAAGAGATGCAATAGCTCAAAAGTGAGTTGCTACCATGAAAGGTTGCGTTGAGTAATGGGGTGATTTCTACTGCACTCAAATCGAATGTGGAGGCATCTAGGTCGAAGGAGCTCAAGAGAACTGGATCGGCCCTTAAAGTACAAAATTTACTATGAGGCATGGAACAACACTTCAAAGTCGTTGGTTTCAAGGTGGATGTCAACAAAATAGATACTGCTAGTATTTACATGACCGAGGTCATTCTGTGATGGCGGCGTCGTAGGTGCTCCGACGAAAAACGTAGAGGCTCAATCATTTGGGCTAGGAAGAGTTTCAATCAGAGTTTAAACAACAATTATATCTGGAATATACCGAGGATGAAGCCAGATCCAAGCTTAGGCGTCTAAAACGTGATGGAAATGTCTAGAAATATGTACGCCAATTCAGCGAGCTCATGTTGCAAGTTCTGGACATAAATGACAAGAATGTATTCTTCTCCTTTATGGGTGGATTGAAAGGGCTAAGAACGTGTTATGTTGTTCTCATTGACGTGAGGATAATCTCCACCGTTAGAATCGCCCAAACGATGCCTTAATCACTGGGAAATGAAAACCCCCACTCTCGTTGGAATTTGTTTTTCTTTTCTTTGCTTACAAGTTTTGCCGATGTTTGGACACAATCGACAGCTTGTGTTTCATTAACAATATTAAAAAGTGCTTCTAAATTGTCAGTAAAAGTTACTGCCATGAAACAAAGATGATAATATTAAGTATCACAAATAATGAAGAAAGACAGAAAATGATTCAAGTTAAGTAGTCGTCTTAGATGCTACTGCTTTAAGAATATTTATTTGAATTGATGTTATCACTATAATAGACGTTGCTCCCAATTTAATACAATATTCTAAATTTAGTACACCTAAAATGAGGAAGTATAACTCGCTTGTGCTACTCTCTTCAACAAATTTTTTTTCAAGAAAAATAAAATAAAATCATCAAAATGCATTCCAATTAAGGAGAGAGACTTTCCTTTTATAAGAGTACCAGACAAATAAAAATAACAAATAACTACTATCCATTACATCCCCTCCTTAAATATAGGTAATGTACTATAACTGCTTCTGGCGGGCATAGGCTGTCAAACTCCATTCTAAATGCGTATGCAATGGAAAAGCTCAAAACGGTAGCTTGTGAATAAGAAACTATAAGGAGTACAGTTGAGAACAAAATGACTCTAGAGGTACAGAGTTTGGCGGGTTTCTACTATGGCAAATCAATCCCGAGATGGGCGCGAAATTAGATAATAAAGAAAAAAATATAAAAATCTAAAATATAGGAAAATTTGAAAATTTTAATAGGTTACTACTCAAAACATCTTCTCGATCCATCCCTAAATAAACCCTGACATGTGGTACGTTGAACTTAAGATTCGGGGTAGCAAAGTTCATGTTGGTTGTCATGAAAAACTTGTAGCATTGTTTCATTTCCTTATAAAGTTATAGATTTGTTTAAGATATAGATTTATATTTTTGGTGTTGTTTATTTTAAAAATTTACTAATGAAAAAATTATTATTACTATTTATTTTAAAGGAAGTCAAAGAATTTTAGATTAGATTTGTTGAATCTAAAGCATTTTATGATGAATCGAACACTAGATTCGCATTTAAGAGGTAAAAAAAGAAGTGAAATAAAATTTTGGAATGTAACGGTTGTTAATGAAAGTAGTCAATGACGACCAATAGTGATGACAAGAGACGTTAGCTGAATTTAATAGTCAAAATGATATTTATATAAAACTTAAGTAATTCATCTAAAATTTAAAGGTCAAATTAAAAATTAATTCTTTGCCTTAACTATTCATGTAATTAAACTAGAACTTAACGACTTAATGATAAAAATAACGATTGATAACTTGATTGAAATATTATTTTTTAAATAAAAATTGGAGACTAAAAGCGAATATTGCCTTAGTTTACCCTTAATTTGAATATTTGTATGCAGGGGTAAGTAAAATTCGAATCGATTCAAAAATTTATTATTTTTTAATTTAGTTATTCGAGACGAGTCATTTGAGTTATTTAAATCAACTTGAATTATAAATTCAATTTTTGAGTTCGAGCCGAATTGAAATTTCAAAATTAAGTAACTCGAAAAATAAAAAATTTGTATAAGTGTTTTGATAGGTTTGCGATTTTGTCTCTAATTTCCTATTCCTTCAATTCCTCCTTATTTATTTTAAGTCAATTTTTTATTAAATTTAAACCATGTGCTCCTAAACTATCATATAATGTATATGTACTATCAATTCCGCTTTTTGATAATTTTTTTATCTTTTCAATTTAATCTTTTAATTTTACATGATTTTCGTATTTCTTCAATTCATCATTCATTTTAAGTATGATTTTGACCAATTTTAAGCCACATGTTCCCCTACCACTATAGAATATTTATGTAACTTATCTTTTATTTACAATTGTTTACATATTCTTTCTTCACATTAATTCTTTGACTCATTTATACCCCTTCAATATTTTATCCTCAAAATACATTCTTTGAAATATAATATTATAAATATATTTTATAATTTTAGATTGTATGTGATATATTAAATAATATTATAATATAAAAATAATATGAAGAAATATATATATATATATATATTATGGTTAAAAAAGTTAAAAAATTAAAATAAAATTTTACTTTAATATTATAAATAATTATAATTAAATTAGTATACAATTCTAGCAACTCATTTCAATTCGAAATTTTTAACTCAACTTTATCGATTTCTCATTCCTGTCTGTATGCACCACCTACCACCTTGATGGTGACAATAAGCGACTATTCTAAATTCGACATCTTTCAGTTCCAATTTGAAACCGTCGATGCTCGAATCTTCTCTTAAGTTCTGGTTTCGTATGCTTTGTTGTTTGTTTTCTCTGAAATAGTTGGAAGAAAATGGCTGATGAAATCAGATTCTTTGAGCTAAACACAGGTGCTAAGATTCCCTCCGTTGGGTTAGGCACTTACGCTGTTACTGGAGACACTCTCGCTACTGTCGTCAAGGTATCTTCTTCTTGTTGTTGTTGTTTTCTTCTTTCGGTGTCTTTTGTTTGTGATTTTCAGTTGAATTCCATCTGGGTTTTACTGTTATATTTGTTGGATTCAGGTTGGGTATAGGCACATTGATTGCGCTTCTCTCTATGGCAATGAGGAGGTAATCAATTTGAAAATTTTCTTTGATTTCTCAGTCTTGATTTGATAAATTCACCCAAATTTTACGTTCTAAGAGAAAAAATAACTTTAGTGACGAAAAATGTCTTATAATATACTATTTTAACCAATTTTTTTTTTGATTTATCAAAATGACCAACTAAATCGCAATGCAATCGATATTTGCAACGCGATCTATTATCGCAACGTGATCTCCGGTATCCCAAATCAGTTTCCAGATTCGCAGCGTGAACTTCGACTATCGCAACGCGAACTTGGATTATCGCAATGCGAACTTGGACTATCGCAATGCGAATATGTAAATCGCAATGCGATAGTCGAAGTTCGCATTGCGATAATCCAAGTTCGCGTTGCGATTTATTCCAATTCGACTATCGCATTGCGATTTACGTATTCGAATTGCGATAGTCCAAGTTCGTATTGCGATTTATTTCAAATTCATTGCGATAGTCGAAGTTCGCGTTGCGATTTATTCCAAATTCATTGCGATAGTCGAAGTTCGCGTTGCGATTTATTCCAAATTCGTTGCGATAATCCAAAATCGCAACGACTGGTGGTATTGCATTTGTTTCTTAAGAATTTTCTCTAAAAAGATAGTATTCGCGCGGACGTGTCGAAGACACGTATTACCACGACCACGACCCGATCCGAGACGAGACGAGACGAACGTGCAGTGCTAATATATTATAAGACATTTTT